ATATCATATATATGTAATACAAATGCACACACATATACACTGTACACTTGAGTCAGTGCCAGATAAACGGATATGTACATGTATCAAAGACTATATGAGGATCATGATCTCTTAATCCACAAAATCGTTTTGCGTTCAAAAACTAAAAACTAATGTGTTTGTTAGGATGGTGCATTTGATTTTAACATAGTATTGCATCAAAATAATATGTGCACTGGGCGTCTTAAATAAAACAGCTAAAGAGAATATTTTGATCACCAGCACGGAATGTCATGTTTTAATGGTAACGTTAGAGATGATTTGCTGAAAATTTAGCATATACACAACAAGTAAGTAATGTGAGGGCGGTCGATACTGTGTCACGTGGTTACGTCTGACAAAAGATTACCAAACGCTCGTGGCGCTATCTTGCGGCGGTGACGAGAGTCTGTCCTCGCCTACCCAGTCAGCACGCGCACTTTCGACAAACTACTCGCAGGTGAAGGAAGGTTTAATCTTCTAACAAACCTTCACCACGTGGAATAGCACATGCTTGTACCGGTGTGTCAAGTAAGCTGTTAGCTTACAAGCCTGGTGTCACAGTATTGGTAAGTTAGTTTTATTAACGCAAGCAGCAAAAACCAATTTCTATTGCACGTAATCTGTGACGTATTTCAGTCGGCATAGATACTCTCAATAGATATGGCTTTGATGGCACAAAAGCAGGAAACCAGAACCGCAATGTTCCATCCCGGGGGATAGAAAGTTAGTCACAGCATTGACAGGTTTAACGACAAGTATCACAAAGGATGTTAGAGAGGCAATATCACAACCATATATTACACACAACAAACATTATTGTAATAGTTATAATTCAGATACGAAAAAATATTACCGATAAAGTAAAACCAAAAGCAAAATAACTTTTGCATACAAATACAATATTTTAAACATGGCATGACATATGACAGAATCGTTTGTACAAATCAAAAATCTAAAATAAAAAGGTATGTACAAAGAACATATAGCAACAACCGAAAACAATGATAAAAGAAAATAAGTACAAAGACATGTCATTACACGTGCAACGAAAATATTATAAAGTTAGTGTCGCAGAAAAAACATAATTTTACACGTGCAACGAAAATATTATAAAGTGACTATTGCTGAAAAAAGGCATAATTTTACACGTGCAACGAAATTATTGTAAAGTGAGTGTGGCAGAAAAAGGCATAATTTTACACGTGCAACGAAATTATTGTAAAGTGAGTGTCGCAGAAAAAGGCATAATTTTACACGTGCAACGAAAATATTTCATTTACACATATAGTAAAAATTGTCCAAGTATGTATATTATATAATAAATGATATTACCGTCACACAGAGAGTTACAAAGTAAACTGTACTGACATACTTCTACCATGTAAGTGAAGAGAATATGATATAAACTATGGCAATATCATAGACGAACACTATGGAATGTATAGTATTGATATCAATAAACAAAGGTTTGTAATGTTACAGAGAAAAGTTTTTTCTTAGACGTTTTAAATACCTGTGCGTTTTGTCTTCCCGGTGATCTCACTGTATTTAAATGGCATTGTCAAGATATATTAAAAACAAATGTGGTTGTAGTGTGAATATGTAAAATTATGGAACGAGATTGTCGTTCTTGTAGTTATGGGAACTATGACGCGTCAGACTCTTCACTTCACTTATAATTAAGACAATGGCAGTGCAGTAATTGTCGTTCCGTTGGGATCAGGGTCTGGTCTATGATGTCTCTGTGGGAACATGTTAAAAAGGACGTGTTGGAAATGTGACCTCACCTCGTGACTAGGGTAAAAATGTCTTGTCGGGCATGTGACAGTCCTCTGGGACAAATATTTCACGTGCTAGACATCTCGAGACAAGCAACTAAATCGCTTACCATAAGGAAAATATACACGTTCACGCTATTCAGTACTTCTGTCAACAGGCACCGGGTTTGGACCTAACTTTACCTTTTTTCTGACTTAAACATTTTCATGATCCCGAGTCCAGGTGCTGGGTTAGATGGTAGTGAACTCGATAGCTTTTTGGTATTGTGGTAAGAGCAGATACTGTACGCCATCTAGGGGTGTCTTTTGGCGACATGTCTCAGTTATCCTCTGAAAAACTAAGGACAAGTTCCTATGAAAGATTGCACTATCGTCAAGAACACGACAAAAATACAAAATGGCGTCCATAAAATATCATTGGGTATGATTGAGAAAAGTAGTCATTTTACAATACAAAACAATACCATACAAAACAATACAGTACAATACAATACAATACGTTACAGTACAGTACAGTGCAATACAATACAAAACAGTACCATATAATACAGCACAATACAATACAATAAAGTACAATACAATACAAAACAATACCATACAAAACAATACAGTACAATACAATGCAATACATTACAGTACAGTACAGTGCAATACAATACAAAACAGTACCATATAATACAGCACAATACAATACGCTAATGATCATGGTAGTGTTATATATCACATTATACATTACATTATACATGTAATTCTAAGATACATAGAAGTTCATAACATTTATAACCAGAATCAATCTTTGTAAAACATGGGTATTACAAGATATAATCCATGATAAGAATTTCAACGTCAATTAACATAAAATGTGTAATGAAATATATGATAAAACTACATGTTGTTCTACCGTTTGGCGCATTGTCCATCGTCTGGCGCACGGTGGCGCATTTGAGCTATACATTTCACAGTTTACATTTCCTTAAAATTGCTAATTAATTAGTTTTGGGTTAAAGCATTATTCAGAGATGTACTTTACCGTCTTTCGAAGTCATTAGGTACACTCTGTATATGAAAAACTGATTATTCCTAGAAGGACGAAACAGCCGATTTTGTAGCGATTATTGGCTCCTCAGTATTTGATTTGTTTTTATTAAAAGGTGAAAACTCCCGTGTGTCTTCAGCGCAATCCACAACCAGTAATAGCGTAAACCAGCGATCATCAACCCCTCTTTTGTCAATTGTCAATTGAACACGAAGAAAAAATGTTCCTGATTTCAAAACCAGATGAAAGATATTGCGCAAAGGTGTCCTTGGTGACTGTTGTAAGAGAGTTGTTAAAGAGAGTTTCTAATACCTGATGTACCAGTATATGTACTAAGTGGCCTATTGAGATGTGTCCATTAAAGACTATGCGTTTGGAGAAATTATCGTGTCTTTGTTTGGTACATGGCGTGAGAAAACAAAACACATGTCACCAATACATAGCATTAGAAGACAAAACACATGTCACCAATACATGGCGTTAGAAGATGAAACACATGTCACCAATACATGACGTGAGTGAACAAAACACATGTCACTAATACATGGCGTGAGAAGACAAAACACACGTCACCAATACATGGCGTGAGAAGACAAAACACATGTCACCAATACATGGCGTTAGAAGATGAAACACATGTCATCAATACATGGCGTGAGAAGACAAAACACATGTCACCAATACATGGCGTGAGAAGACAAAACACATGTCACCAATACATGGCGTGAGAAGACAAAACACATGTCACCAATACATGGCATGAGAAGACAAAACACATGTCACCAATACATGGCGTGAGAAGACAAAAAACATGTCACCAATACATGGCGTTAGAAGATAAAACACATGTTGTAATGTTGACTAGAGTGAGATTGGTGTATAACTGTAATGTTGACAAGAGTGAGATTGGTGTATAACTGTAATGTTGACTAGAGTGAGATTGGCGTATAACTGTGATGTTGACTAGAGCGAGATTGGTGTATAACTGTAATGTTGACTAGAGTGAGATTGGTGTATAACTGTAATGTTGACTAGGTGAGATTGGCGTATAACTGTGATGTTGACTAGAGTGAGATTGGTGTAGTGTATAACTGTAATGTTGACTAGATTGAGATTGGTGTATCACTGTAATGTTGACTAGAGTGAGATTGGTGTATCACTGTAATGTTGACTAGAGTGAGATTGGTGTATAACTGTAATGTTGACTAGAGTGAGATTGGCGTATAACTGTGATGTTGACTAGAGTGAGATTGGTGTATAACTGTAATGTTGACTAGGTGAGATTGGCGTATAACTGTGATGTTGACTAGATTGAGATTGGTGTATAACTGTAATGTTGACTAGAGTGAGATTGGCGTATAACTGTAATGTTGACTAGAGTGAGATTGGCGTATAACTGTGATGTTGACTAGAGTGAGATTGGTGTATAACTGTGATGTTGACTAGAGTGAGATTGGCGTATCACTGTAATGTTGACTAGAGTGAGATTGGCGTATAACTGTGATGTTGACTAGAGTGAGATTGGCGTATAACTGTGATGTTGACTAGATTGAGATTGGTGTATCACTGTAATGTTGACTAGATTGAGATTGGTGTATCACTGTAATGTTGACTAGAGTGAGATTGGTGTAGTGTAGAAATGTTATGTTGACAGGTTAAGGATAAGTTAAGTGTATACTTTATGGTATTAACAATATTTGATATGGTGTGTACTTGACAAAATAGTGTGTACATCACTTCTTATTTTTTATGATTTGTGATAGTGTTTACAACATTTCATAGTGTTTCCATCATTTAATTGTGTGTTCTTCGGGTGGATATAACCATAAGGATTTCTTATGTCCAATACTTTGTTATAACTATATAAACGTCACGTTTACCATGTTGATCCTAATTGAATCAATCCTTCAACAAAATATTGATAATGATAAAACACTCGTACGATAGAAACCCCGGCTTTTTATTGTTGTAAATCTGATCAGGGACATCAGCATGAACCTAACCCATTGTTCTAGTTTCGTCTGTTGGAATTATCTCCGTTAAAAGTAAACATCGTACAAACACACAATAAACAGTTCGGCCGTCTCCCAGTCGATATATTTTCACTTTCCTCCGTAAACCTTACATATGTCGATAGCGATTGGTGTCGGCGTCAGACGTTTCCTACCCGGGGCCTACAACACACGGGAGTACAATCAGCCAACAGTTGACACCCCAACTAGCCCTAAGTGCCAGTTCTACATGCTGTCACGGCAGTCCCACCTCCCGGGCTCCAAATCGGAGCGGTATCGAGTCCTCCCGTACAGCAAATCAAATTGGGAGTCGTTTGGATTATTGATGAAGCACAAGTAGCAGCGTGCGCGCCGCTAAGCTTTCGTTACTCCGGAAGCTGGGATATGTACAGCCTTTTATCTGCGCAATGTTTGATCTCAATTACTGCATTATACTCGAGCTTAGGAAAACAACTGTAAACAGGGAACAAGTAAGTTATGACAATCAATGTTATATGTAAAGGCCAGATCGAACCGTGTGTGTGACAGGTTAGCTAGGCAGCGCCCTCGCTATGTTGTTGGTAGTGAGGTGGTGCAGTCTTCTACTACTCACCAGTCCTAGTCAGCCACTGCAACCTAAAATGTGTGTTCGCCGAGGAGCTACAAAATGTACTGCTATTTTTCAAACTTGTTTCAGACTCTAGCGACAAGTAACCATGTCTGCCAACAGGAAGCGAGGCTGGTGTGTTTGGATATGGAAGACATTTATGTGGTGGACAGTTTTCCATGTTATACCAAAAAGTCGAGGTAAGCCATGTGTTTTTTTTCTCGATTTCTTAAATATTTATTGTTATTGATAGCCTAAAATATAACACGTTTAGATTTAATCTATAATTACATAAGTCTCGTATCTCGGCGATCACTGCGTCACTGGAAATTGTTTTGGAGGGCTCGTCAGCCACGCGGCGAGAAATAGGCTTGATCGCCGCCACGCGCGACACCTGTGTGTCTTAGTGGTTGCCTCCTGTACATATGCACGAGTGAATGAGCGTGTAATTAGCAGATAATTTGAGCAGTGCTACAATGCAAACGATAGATGGAGCAGTCTAACAGGGTCTTATGAGCTTTTTATACACTAGATTGATCAATGAAGGGCCAGAAGGTTAGAAAACTGTGAGTGAACCATTAAAACGCCTGTTTTATCCAAGATTCGATATTGTACAGGAAATTCCGTAGATACCGGTCAATCGAGTCGTTAATTCTATTTACCTCGTGCTGTCTAACACTGTTTGTCAGATCGTTAAAAACAATACAACTTGTGCAAGATCATCTGGGTTTAAGGGTATCTAATTAACTACATTGGTTGAGAATTGATTACACTGGTATATAGGCGTCAAGCTACAGCGCTTACGTGTGGCTTGTGATTATCAACTAAATTCCTATAGTCTAACGTTATTGATGGTAAGAAGGTTTCGCTACATGACTTCCACGGTATATAGCTATTGATATGAGTGAGAAACAACATCTCGGATCAATGAGTACGAGACCTAGATACTACAATTCAGATACAAAATTTCTGTACAGTTTGTCCTCCCCCATATTCCACCGTTAGAATCTACAAGCGTCAACTTCACTGTTTACAAGCAAGATTGATTATATTTATATACATTATTTGCCAAATTTTGCCCAAACTGAATGACGTCATTGAAATTTTGTGCGCCAGCGCCAGCAGTGACACTAAGATGGCGACACGCCGCCATAATAGCACAAAGACCTTACACCTATTTAACTGCTTAGACCGGTACAGGCGATCCCGTCAACAGCTGGTCGATGATGCTTGTCCGACACGGCACAATGGTTTTTTATGATTGTGTAATTACAGTAGATTTTTTTCACGCAAGTATTCTCGTACCGTTCAATAGCCTATATAGTATGAATTAATAAAGGCGATCACCCTTGACTAGATAACGTGAATAATAGAAGATAATCATGATTACTTAAACCAGCTTACATTAAGGTAAAATACACTCACGACATTTACTTCAACAGAAGATAATCTTCAAAACACACATTTAAAATTATTTCTAGCGATGGAAACTGCCTCTGTTGTTAAAAAAAATAAAATAATTTTGCACGTTCAGGGTGGCCGGTGCTAGTGGCGGTTTCTAGCCTTTGAATGACTATAAATATAGCCCAACTGGGCGAACGTGCATTCTACAGTTGGACTCTGCAAAGAGAAGGTACTATTTAGATAAAGAAATCAATAGCAGAAATTATTGCCGTTTCTTGAACATGCATCTTTGTTTGGAAGTTACTGTAGACATATATACCCTCAGTCGGCGTGGGTAGACTGGCGGGGTTCCCATCATCACTAGTAATGGCCACTTGATCGATTCCCTAAAACACTTACTTTCAAACCCTAACGTTTTATTTCCTTTACGATTGTTTGCTTGTGTTTCCTGATCGCAGACTTTGTCGGAATCTACTGGTATGTACGATTACCTACACACACAGAGCTGTGTGTTAGCCTTTAGTCACACTACCAACTTGGTCCTTCGTCTGTTCTGGAGAGGAAAATGAGGCTCCGTTGATCAGCACACAAGTGTCTTCAGCTCAATCTCGATTTTGGTCAATATTAGCTTTATATTCCAATTTGAACGGTGGTAGAGAGTCAATTTTCTCCACAAAGTAAATATTTCTTGGGAATAACAACATAAATTGGAAACACAAATTGATACTTACAGACGATTCATTGGCATAGACCAAATCTCTTCCCCGGTCCGGTCTGTACCATAAGTCAACACCTAATTAAATCACACTTCGATTGGATGATGAACGGAAGAATGGATTGACAGATGATAGAAGGGATGTTCAAGTGAACAGTGGGAAGATGATGAATGATGAGAAGGATGAGAAGCTCGGAGTAAATAAGATTTATGATGTAGGCAGACTATACGCTGGCAGATAGTATCTATTGCAACAGAACACAAAGCTTTGTGGGCTAGCAATCACTAAGAACACTACCGAACAAGTAATTAACACAGTTTCAACAGTCTACCTGGACCATTCCGCAGGAGACATATGAAGTTCCGATCTAATCCAATGTGTGACGTCACAGATGCACGCGATGCCAATTAGCGCACAGTGCGGTTGTGGAATTAAGCGTTTGTAAGCAACAAACGTGCTCGCTTTTTTGCATAATTGCACATATAAAGGGTTGATAGGTACAGGCGATGCTGAATATTTCATAAGTTAATGTCTTTCACAATATCGACTGTATGTAAGGTGTGATGATGTAACGTGTTTGTTCAGGACTTCGCACGGTACTGTTTCGTCGCCTGCCAAGATAAAGATCAGCATAATGGAGACACACCCTCGCGCTTCTCCACCTGTGCTTTCGCAATCAACATGCTAACTGGCTCCTAGATGCTATTTTGTATTTACAAAACACATAACTAATTGCTTCAATCGGAATTAATTCAATATATATAATAACACACTTCTAACAAGATGTATTTGTAAACGATAAGAATTCTAAATAAAACACACATTATCAACAAACATTTAACTGATAGTAAATACAGACTTACCTATATAACATACGTGTATAAATACACTTCTTAAACGTCGTGGTTTCGTCGATATAAATTTTGAATATGTAGATAAACAATGGTACAATATTTCTATCAATTTTCAATAAACCATTAAATGAAAATGAAATCTCCATAACAATAAAGTTATAAGGTAAATGTTGGTTCCTAGTTAATATTAATTCCGTGGATACATTTATTTAAAACATGTTTCGTGGCACAATTAATTTTAAATCAAATATGTATTATATAGATATATATTTGCAATTGTGTTCCTAGATTAAGTTGTAAATAAATGATCGCTGAATTCACTCAGTAAACAAATGTGCAATGATAAATAGAGAAAAATAATAATTTCAATTCAAAATTTATTCAGCAGGAAAATTAACACATAAACTACAGAAAAATAACAAAAATATTAAGACTAGGTATTTCGGTAAGGTAAGGGCTGTTTTACATATCGGCGACACCAGACATGTTGAATATGGTGCACAAAATAAAGCCACGTTCTAAAATCAAAACCAGGCATTTCACAAAAAGCAATTAAATGCACTAACCGTCATCACTGACGTCGAAAATACATATGATGCGGTATGCTTTTGTTTTTATATAGCTCTTCTGGCTTTAGTATTGATATGGGGTTAAATTTATCCAAGAGCTAATCAAAACAGGTAGCAAAGACATTTGTAGTCCTACAATTTCACTTTAAAATATATTGACAGGATCTTTTATTTAAAAAAAAAGGTTTATCGATGATGTCCATTGTACGTACCAACCAGTATTTGATGTGAAGGACCTACTCTTATTTGTCAATCCCTTACCTCGATCCTTTCCTGCAATGAAACCAACAGGGACACCATTCAACCAAGATGTATGATAGCAGGATGATTTCACTTCCCCACTGTGAATTTATCCATTTCGAGACACAAATGTAGTAACAATCCTGCTCCCCAAAACTATTTGGTTTACAGATGTTTACAATGATTTGGCATTCGATGGTTTTCTCCCAATTTTACGATTTACTTGTAAGATGTGGACTGCTGAGAGATTGAACACAAACTACAAGGTTTCTTAAGGTGCAATTGGTAATGGGGAAGCATCGTTCGTCATTACAATGTTCTCATTTGGAAATATTCAATTACCTCGTGTGATATGGAAATTGGACGTCTTCGATGTTCCGTGATATACCTGGTTTTTCCGTCGTTGTAACAATGTATTTAGGAACGTAGCATTTCTACACGTAACTTGGATTGACCGATATATATATATATGTTTATATATGAAACTAACGAAACTTGTCCTAGCAGGTTTCATTTTACTAAGTCTCTGACGCGATAAAATGAACAATTTGTGATGATTTTCGTAATTTCATATGAAATGGAAAGTAATGGATGAGCCGTCTATCACAGGGCTTTAATTCTTTTTCAAAAATGCGCGAAAACAGCATCTTATTTGACTGGTGTAAAATTTTAATTGATGATATTCTCACTCAACGTCTCGTTTGTTGACATTACGATACATATGACGCAATGAAGTGATGACGTCACAATGAAAACAATAGGAACCATCAGTCAACCACGGCTCTACTAGATCATATTCTACGCGTCTAGTAACAAAAATGTTATGCACTGGGTATCTGATAATGGGGTAGTTGTTTTTTAAGGATTAACCTTATCTTTATAACAGAAACCCGTTTATTTTTAAATATGGTATATCATCCTTCTAGAGTAACAATTTTCAAAGAGTCTGATAGAATATTTACTGTGTGTAATCTACGTTCATTTTTTTCAACGTCATGTTAATCCATACGAAACACTCATTCGTAAAACCCATTGACTGATTGCTAAACTACACCCATTTTCTCCAGGACATCAAAAGAAAGAAATCCTTCAATTAATTATTTTATTAATCCGTTACAATGTATTTTGAACGTAGATATGATTTTGGGTTATGGAATAAATAAATCTATATTTATATGAAATTGAAGTATTAGGGAAAAATACTTAAGTAGAAAATAGTAATGATGGCGGATGTTTGAAAGTGATTCTACAACATGCGGGAACTACAAGATCTAGTGAACTGGGCTACGTTTTACTTTCAGGTTATTTGATAAATAGAGTTTCTCACACTTTGGTTTTCGATACAGAAACAGCAGCAATAAATTGTAAATAGTTTAAAATTAATTCTAGATCATGATCCGTTGTTTAGAACACTTGT